CAGCCGCCCCCATCCGGCCGGCCCCGCCCCGCGGGAACTATTCACCCGCTCCGCGCCATGATACCTACTGAGGCGGAAGGGCCGGAGCGGGCGCTTTAGGACAGCCGCATCGCCCGGACCCGGGCGGGAGCCGGTGGGCCTGCTTGGGGACCTCCGTGGGGAGCCAGCGTGAATCGAGGGCAGGGCCCGGGCTCCCCGCCCCGTCTCCGCGGCAGACCCTGTGGTGATTTAAATGTGCCTGGTGGCGGTGAGGGGTCCAGATGTAAAATGTCAGCCCAGCCAGTGTGACATCACCACGGTCTAGTGTGACACCCCCAGAAATTGGGCAGCGCGCGGAGAGGCAGTGCCTACACGGGAAGCCCCCCTGCTGGTGAGGAATTACCTCAGTTTAGGCTTTAATGTTTCGTTGCCATATAGAGACGTTCTAGCGGTGACATCCGTGTACGGGTACACCGGGAGCCACTTAGGGGGCTCTCCCATTGCTGCCTTGGGAACCCGCGTTTGCATTAGGAGGGGAGAAAGAATAGCTGTGCTCTGAATCCAACCCCTCAAAACGTGCAGCGCGCGAATGCTACCATAATTTTCTTGCCTCTACCGGGAGATGGTCAGGCTCGGTATTTGGGAAATGGAATGCTCTGGGCACACAACATTCTGGAAAAAATGGACACTGTGTGAAAACTAGGTTACCCCAGTTGAAAGAAACATGCCATCTCCCAGGATCAAGACATTCTGTGGGATTTCACATATATCTGCTACCATGTAAAATGTTCTGATTCCTAAAGTGGGGGACATTTTTAGGGAGACAGGAGTATAATCTATTTTTTCCATCCCACAAGTTCTAGAGGCTGCACTGATCTGAGCCCTCAAAGTGACTGTCCAGCCCCATGGGTACTTGCATATTCTCTTTGAGGAGGGGGTGGATGTGGCTAAGGCAAGATTCGGCTATCAAGCCCTTTCTCAAATCTCACCCATACATCCTTGAACTCTTTAGGCCCCCTTTTCCCCACCAAAAAAAAAAAAAAAAAAATTTGTGAAGATGTGCTAAAGTGGCTGTGCTACCTTTGGTTTTTCTCCTGGCTTAACAACACTGGGAGCAGTTCTATTTTATCTGGAACAGGAAAGTTATTTCCCTAGAGGACAAGGGTTAGCCAAACAGGACAGTTTTGTTTGCTTATTTCCGCAGAAACTGAGAGAACATAAAGTCCTACATTAGGGATGGGAAGCATCAAGACACAGAGTGGAGTGGGTAAGCTTGCCTGTGCGGGGAGGCAAGAAAAAGGCAGAACTTGAGTTCTGGAGTAGAATAGATCCCACTCAAAAGGCAGGCTGTGAACACACTTATTACTTACCCTGCCTTGGTGCAAGGCAACTCCGTGACATGCTTCTAAGCTACTGGCTCGAGTTTCATCCCTTTCCTCTTTTCAAACACATCTCAAAATTCACCTTTTGGGAGCTTTTCCTGATTGATTACCATTTTATTCTAATTGTTCAGTTCTGCATAGTCACTATCTGACTACTTAATTGACTTATTTGTACCATATTTATTCTTGATGATCTCTATTTTCATTATTATTAGGTCATTTCCTCAGTCTGCCTAAGCGGAGAACTTAAAATCTAGTATTTTCCCTTCTCTAATACCATTCATTCATTCATTCATTCAAGAAACAGCTTGTGTGCCTGCTCTATGCCAGGCACTCTCCCAGATACCGGATCAGATGCAAGATGAATATGACATGGTCTTTGCCCTCAGAGAGCTTATAGTCCAGTGAGAGAAAAAAATGCATGGAGACAAATACAAGATTTGAATGATGGAGTCAAGGACCGCCTTCAGAGAAGGTGGTATCTGAGCATGGTGTTGTCAATGAAGTTTCAAAGTTTAACAAAGCTGGAGTTTACTTGTCCATTCAACAAGATCTATTGAGTACCTCTGACAGGCACTAAAGTAGAAATTAAAGACAGAAAGAAGAAAAGGTTTAGTCCATGCCCTGAAGGAGCTTACAGTTCAGCGGAGAAGTGGCAGGATGTGGAATTAGTAAGGTGGGTCAGATTTTGAAAGACGATGATGAGCTTATTAGAGGTTTAATCAGGTAATAAGGAAGCTGTGCTTTACAGAGAGAACTGGTGGCTGTGAGGAAGATGGCTGGCTGGAGTGGGTGAAGACTAGAGAAAGAGCCTGATTAGAAAACAGTGTTGAGGGTTTGGTCAAGCAGGGAACATGGAGAGTAGGGGGTGGATATGTGAACTGCTTTGTCCTCCCAGACAAAGTCAGAGCACCTGGAGAGGGGAGATGGAGCTATTGGTGATTGGAAGCATTCAAGTCTCACGTAGGGTTTGGCATCCTTCTAGGGCCTGCAGCCTAGGTTCAGTGTTGCAGGTAAGAAGTCATTTGCTCAGGAGCTGCAGTGCTTAAGACCAAATAGAAGAAGCTGACCAAAGGCTGTGTCTTGAGAGAAGCTGGGAAGACTATCCAAATAAGTTGTGAAATGAACTGGCCAAGAAGAAAAGAATTCGGGTAGAAGCCAACAATTGTAAGTTAGAAAACCAAACGAGAGCGAAGGTCTGAAGTAAAGGATAGGAGGCAGAACATGGAAAAATCCTTTGGGGCAACAGAAGAACAAAAACAAGAGTCCTGGAGCTGCCATGGCCATGTGGTGACCATAAATGTGACGACAAGCAATGATGAAGACAAACAGCATGCTGAGGACGGCAGCGTAGACAGATGGAAAAGTGTGTCTTTGATATAGTGAAGTTTCTGAATGAACCAGGAACTAACTACTCACTTCTGGATTTCTTTTTAAGTAAATAAATGTTCTTATGTTTTGAGAACATTGTTAGACAAGTTTTCTATTATTTGCAGCTAAAATCGGTCTTAACTGATGAAGAGAAGTAGGGGAGATTTTCTAGAAGAAGGAGCTAATCTGTGGTGACCAAATGTTATGAGAAGTAAAGGAGGATAAGGAGTCAAGAGCGGCCAGTGGACTTGGCAGTCGGAAGGTCGCTGGTGATCTTGGTAAGAACAATTTTAGTAACAGTGGGGACAGAAGTAATGTAATTCCTAGATAGGATTTTTCATAATATGAGTGGTAACTGGCAAACTGGGAAGGTAGTTTGGTCCAGCTGGGTGATAGAATCTGTTCTGGTCAACTCCCATCTTCAGCTCTCCATAACCAAGGAAGCTGCTTGGGTCTGTAATGTCCACTTCTGCTACATCTGGGAGATCATGAACTGAACTATTCTGACTGATTTCTGTATCACTTTTCACACAAATAAGCTGGGAAAAGTTGTTCTGGCCCTTTAACTGGTTTTAAAGAGGGCAAATCCAAGATGCATGATGGAGGTTAGAATAGAACTTTTTTTATTCTACTAGGATTTCCTGACTGTATAATAAGTACCAGACACTGAGTTAGACAGAATAAAAAGAATAAATAGAATAAAGCACATTTCCTTCCCTCAAGGGTCTCGCAAACACAGTTAAGGAGACAGATTGGAAACAATTATCACATGTCTATGACATTGGTCCTCCAAGTGGCATTAAAAGTGCTGAAGAATATTACAGTTAACTGTGTCTGGAAGTCACTGAGGAAGCTTCTAGAAGTATTGCTGTAGACTGAGCAGGGACTTAAATAAGACAGCCCTACTTCTGCTGGGGCATCAGTGAGACGTTATTTGTTTTTAGTACTGACCTTAAGTACATTTTTCATGTGAACATAAGAATAAATATGCCATTATATTATACACAAGGGACATGAGCTCCTAGGAGTGACAAGTACTCTGGGAAGAAGAGCTTACCAGATCTGTGCCAGATGGCTTTGGGCTTAGAAACTAAAACCAAAGCTGAGAAGTGAAGTGCCCACCTCTTGGGAAGCTACCCAGGATAATCAGGTGAGTGAGTACTCTCCATTTCATCCCAAAGCTTCCTTCTCTGTATTGGGAGAAGGCTTTGTCTCCTCGCTGCCTCCCCACTTCCCTCCTTCCCCAGCATCTCCCCACTTCAAGCTGGGTCATTGCTGGGCTGAATAGTGTCATTGCGGGTAGGAGTCTGACTTACCTGGCTCAAGTCTAAGTATTGCTAGTTTCTTTTTCTTTTTGCAGCAGAATAGGACATTTTGAGGACAGTCCATCCCAGGAGAAACGATGGCTTTGGTGGAATAGGAGTTTGGACGAAGGCCATGCCTCTGGGGTTAAAGAGGAGGAGGAGTCAAATGCAAATAAAAACGGGGAAAGTGAACTAGATACAGGTGATGGATGCACAATGCCGTGAAGGCACTAAATGTCACTGAGCTGTGCACTTTCAAATGGTTAATTGTATGTTATGTGAATTTCACCTCAATAAAAAAGAAAAAGAAGATGGGAGGTTTGCAGGAATTAGAGATAACGGGCAAGAACTTTATCCCTAATTTTCCTGATTTTCAAGGGTCGACCCAGAAATTATGCTGGGAGAAGAGCAAATGCCTTGAATACTCATACCACCCATACTTACTTCTCCTCAGATCTTCCTCCCCACTAAAACCAGGGGATAGTGCTTTTTTTCTCTCTTTCTCTGGATGATCATCATCTCTCATCATCATGCCTCCACCATTCCATAGCTTCTCATCTTTTCTTTGACCAAGGGTTACACCAGCCTTTAGCAACTGCATTCCATATATCTTTCTGTATCATCAATTCTCAGCAAAGTCCAAAGTCAAAACAAATGCTCTGGGAAGGCACAGAGACCCACATGGGAGAGGGCAGTGAATCAGGACAGGAAATTTCACAATTGGATATTATTTGTGCCAAGTCATTTTGCACTTCCCATAAACTCAGAAATCAAAAAAGTCCTAATGTAGTTAGTATCCCTTGCCTAACACAATTCCCGATATGTGGTTAGTACTTACTCTTTTGCTGAGTAAATTACCGAGTGCTTATTCACAGTGCTCAAAGTATCAGAATTCAATTAACTATAGAGTGTAAGAAAATCTCAAAATAACAATTTCCACCTCCCCTTTGGCTGTGAAGTTAACTTAAATTTTTTATTATTATTTTTAGAAACTTATTTTTTGTAAACTCTGTAAGCTGTCATCAAGTGGTTAGCAAGTGGTTCTCTCTGTTGCGGGTGGGGTAGAAGGAGGTGCCCAGGAAAACTCTGATGTGACATAGACTTCTGCCTGACCAACCTCAGTGCTCCCAGGATGCTCAGTATAGAAGAAACACATGGGCTTTGGAACCTGATGTCAGGGGGAATACTGACTCCTTAGTTACTGGGGTGTGCTAGTGGACATGCTCATGAGACCCACTTTCATCATACTTAAAATGGAAGTGATTATACCTTTTCCTTACCTCCTGCGTTCCATCCATCAGAACATTTCTTTAATGTTACTTCCCCCAAAAATCCAGAACCCACCACCATTCATCTCCACTGGTACTGTCTGTGGAATCAGAAAATAGGAGAAGTGAAATACAGAATAATAATAGATATGTATTTTAACTCCTTTCTTGATTAAAAAGGAGGGTTTTAATTGTCCATGTGGACTAGGAGCCTTGCAGAGAAGATGCACTCTCGTGAACCCAAAATTACCTTGTTCGTTCTGGTGCTCTTCTGTAAGAATGTAGAATGTTACAACTTGGTAAATTGAACAGCTATGCTCTGTTCTCCATTATATCTTATAGATCTCTCCTTACAGATGCAGACATTCAAAGATCAGGACTGTTATCCTGTATAAAAGTTAAAACTTCATAATAATTTAAAAAGTAAGTATTCTCTGATACATGAAATTTTTTACTGAGGAGTCATTGTCTCTCAGGAAATGTGACCTCTAACCCTAAGGCTTGTGTTGACTCCAAAGCAAGTAAACTATGTTTTCTTTTTTTTTAGTACATAGTTATAAAACATGTCTATTATAGGAAATAGTGCTAATTCATAAAATATTCCACTTATTTACTTATATTGTAAATAAACTCATTCTTTTTTTCTTCTTTTTTATTCCCCCCAAATATGTGCACCCATATAATATCTATGGTGCATGTATGGTTATATATACACTTTTCCTTTGTGGAAGCTTTGGTGGAGGAAAAGGTGTCTTTGTTCCTTTAGCTGCTTGTGCCAAAGAAGTTAACTCTAATGGATTCATATCCAAACACCACGCAAAGCCTTTCTTCCAAAAACCTAGTCCACCTCACCAGTCTCTCTCACTACTCCAAGAGCTTCCTAGCTAGAATTCATGTTTTCATTCTTGCCTCATTCTCTATCCGTTGCTTTTAAAAGAGCGTATCATTTCCCTATGTGAAAGCACGCCAATCGATTCCCGTTACCCTTAGATAAAACCCAAACTTCTTTGTCACTTCTGATCCTACTTCTGCCTCCCTCTCTGAGTTCATCTCTTTTCCCCCTAGGCCACATGCATGAAGGTTGTTCCCATCACACGGTCTTCAGGCTGATGCTCCCTTCAGGTCTTCACCTGACTGGCTCCTTTTCATCACTCAGGTCTCATCTTAAGTTTCAGTCCCACAGAAACACCTTTGACCCGTCTCTGAACTGCTCCCCACCCCTATTAGCCAGTTTTATTTTCTTAGTACTTTTCACTATCTGGTATATATTTATGCAAACTCTCTCTCTCCATTAAAATGAGTTCCTGGTGGGCAGGACATGTTCTGTTTTGTTCACCATTTTGTGATAAGAATCATTCTGTACTGATGTAGGTGGGATATCTTGGATAATAGGGGAAGCACCATGACCTCAAAATATCGTCGCGGTGGTTACGAAGGGCGATGGGTGGGAGGCAGGTAACACACTGACAGCTGCTCACTCGTGATAGTGTCAGAAATATGTGCACTTGGAGCCCAGACAGAATTTCTCCTGCTTAAGAACCACTTCAAGAGCACAGAGAACTGTCTCCCTTGGTGTGGGCTTGAGACCGAGGACCCAGGTCCAAATCCTGTTTCTTGAACAAGCAGACTCGCTTATATCCTATTTCCTACCACAAAGGGAAGTCTGGGTCAGAAGTGAGAGATGGTCCTCCAAAGCCAGCCAGGCAAATGTCCTTCTTTAAAGGGACTAAAGTCACTATCAGTCTCCTTGTGAAAAAGTACTTTTCTCCACAGATCCTGAAACAAATAACTCATTGATATCTAGGGAACTTCCTTCCTCCCAGTACCTTCAGGCCTAATGCAAGCTCTTCAGGGATCTATGGGGGTCATCCTTAGATTCTAAAAGTAAAATAAATGAGCTACTTAGATATATGCCATGCAGCATTTGTATATGAGAGTATTGAGAAATCAAACAAAGCAATTGCCAATCTCTATTATAAGTAGCCAAATTTACTTTAGAATAGTATGGAATTTTCCTATTACTAAAACACAAACATGCCACCAACAACTAATTTCTCAAAGCCCTTTGCTTCTACTCCCCCATCTGAATTCGTACAGATGCCACTTCAGGGAATAACGCATGACACAGAACATGCCAAGAGTGAACAGGTTTCCTTGCTGCTAGACGAGAAAGCCAGTCTGGGGCCCCTGGTCCTGAAGACCGCCTTATCTCTCTCTGCCACCTTTGGGCAGCACCGAAGTGAGACAGCAAGAAGCACTTAGAGGAAGTCGGTTGAGCCTTGTCCACACAGCTTAGTAAATATTTACCAATACACAAGATAATTTTCCATGTTTACATGTACCGTTCTAATAATATCATTTGAACTTAATGAATCTTCAAGGTATTTTAATACTATCCTCTTCTTCAAGAAGGATGGTAAGAAAACATGTTTGTAGTGCAATTGGGTACAATTTGCACCAAGAACTGAAAACTGTAATCACTTCCAGTAATTTATTCCAATAAACAAAAATGCCACGATATATGCACAAGGATGTTCACTGTAATATGTGTTAAAAAAGGGTAATAGAAATGTTGAATAAGGAAATGGTTTAAAATATACCCTTATGATAGGGCATCATACTACATATTTAATATTAAAAATTATATTTTGAGCAATATTTAATGATACAAGAAAATGCTCGATATTAAGAAAGTATACTGTAAGATATAAAGCTATACAGTATTACCCAACTTTGAAAAAAACATTTTATATTTACATGCACAGAAAAAGACTAAAACAATTGATCTACATGGAAGAATTTTTTTCTTCTTTATATCTTAACCTCCAAAATTTATTTTACATACAGAAGAATTTTTAAAGAACCAGAGGCCAAGAACCAATATTTGAAGTACCTATCCTGTGGGAGGCAGAGCTAGGAATTCTCCCAATGATCTAATGTCCATGGTGATCAGGAGAAGCAGGTACCTCAGTGGGTTTAGGTGAGGAACAGAGGCTCTATTTAAGCATGGTCTCTGCTGGCCCAGGGCGCCCTGGATTTCAGCCCAGGACAATGCCCAGGTTCCCTGCTGCCCCACATGCCTCACCTGCGCCTCCTAGTGGGCCCATGGTGGGGCTTACAGTGAAAGTCACTGACAAAACACAGCCTGCCCAAGAGCAAGGACCTATTTTGCTTTCTAAACTCTTCATGTCTTCCTCCCAAAGTAGGAAACCTGTTTTTCCTGGACAAGAAACAGGCTTCTTCATTATGAAGGCTCAAGGCTCCAGGCTCCATTCTGAAGCAGTTTTACCCATGTGCCCTCTGAGCCTGTGCTATCTGCTGTCCTGCTTATTAGTTTGGCATTTCTGTCAGGATGTGAGGAGGACAGGGCAGAACTGCACACCCCCGCCTCTTCCTCCAGCTGGCTCCTTGGTCTCTGCCCTGGATACTAAAACAAACAGGCTGTGTGCTCTGGCTCCCTACTCAATCCAA